CGGTGCGAAATCTGGACGTGGGGGCAAGTCGGGTGCTGGTGGCAAAATGAAAGGGAGTTTCTGGTATTGTGAGAAGGAAGGGCACCCCTGGTTTTTGTGCTATAAGAAACCCGATGGATGGACCCCCCAGAATCGTCACCAAGATGGCGGCACGCGGAGGAACCAGAAAAACGGCGCCAACATGGTCGCTGATTCGTCCGACAACAACCCGAAGGGCAACGGCGGTGCGGAGAAGAAGAAGGAGCGCACCGCGGGCTAATTTTTCCATATGGGAGACAAGGGGGAGCAAGGAGACGCCTCTGCCAAGGTTGGAGCAGAGCTGCACCCCCTGGATTATTGGGTGTTGGACACAGGCGCTGCTTGGACGATGACGCCGCGAAAAGACCTACTGGACCACGTACAAGCTGCACCGATCAACGAGGTGTGCTCCGCCTCTGGACACGCGCTGAAGGTGGCTGGTGCGGGACGAGCTGCGTTTAAGGGAGCGGATGGCAAGCCGGTGGTGCTGCACGACGTTCTCCTTGTTCCTAAACTCAAGGCCAACCTCATCTCCCTCCGTAAGCTTGGCAAGGCTGGGGTGAGCACTAGCACGGATGGGGTACGCACTTACACGGATCAGGTGCTTTGGGATCTGCACGAGAGTACGGACGTGTACAGATCCATGTGGCAGCTGCCGGCGTTGGCGTGGCATGGTGGGGGGCAGGCTGGAGAGGGGTCTGCATCCCAGGGGGAGTGCAACGCCGTTGGAGGGGTTGGTGTGAAAGTGTCGGCCAGATCTGGGGAGACGGATTGGGCAACTGCACACCGACGTTTGGGGCATGTGGCAATGCCTTTGCTGAAGCAACTAGAGAAGGATGGAGCCGTTAAGGGCTTGAAGCTGAACGGACAACCACCCGATGATAACTGTGAAATTTGCCTCCTTTCAAAGTTCACCCGTTTCCCCTTCCATAGTGTGGCTGGCAGGAGCAAAAAGCCGTTGGAGCTGGTCCACATGGACTTGGTGGGGCCGCTGCTGATGCAAGGGCACAAGGGGGAGCGGTACTTCCTAACCATAGTGGAGAATTGGAGCAGGCTTATGTGGGCGTATCCGCTGAAGCAGAAAGATCACGCCGCCTCCATGATTCGGGGCGATTGGCTGCCGTTAGTGGAGAAGCAAGCGGAGTGTGTGGTGAAGCGGATTAGGACAGATCGGGGTGGTGAGTTCCTTGGATCTGCGATGACGGCCTGGCTCAAGAAACAGGGCATCCAGAGGGAGCTGACCACGGCTTACACCCCACAGTCTAACGGTGTAGCAGAACGGGCGAACCGAACAATTCTGGAGACAGCTAGGGCGCTGCTAATAGAATCTGGGCTGGGCAACTTGATGTGGCCCCATGCTGTTCGGCACGCTACCGTCGCTAGGAACAGGGTACTCACAAAGGTTGGGGATGACTCGTGGGTGCCGTTGGAGAGGTGGCTTGGGAGGAAGCCGCCGGTGGACATGCTGAGGGTGTTCGGTTGCATGGCAGTCGCCCACGTCCCCAAGACCTACCGCAGTAAGTTGGGGGCGAGTGCAATCTGGTGTGTGCATTTGGGGCTGGCTGCTGAGAGCAAGGGATGGCTGCTGTGGGAACCTTCCAAGGGTGTGTTGTTTGACAGCAGGGATGTAAAGTATGTTGAGGGCATGATGTATGGGAGCTGGGAGAAACAGCCGGAGGCCAGGGTGTCCCAGCAAATGGAGCAGATCACCATGCAGCTGGACCTGACTCCTAGTGTGTGGGAGGAGGGAGAGGAGGCAGCTGCAGAGGGTGGTGATAAAGAGAAGGTGCAGGAGGCACCTGCTGGTGGAGGTGATGGTGTGGAGACTAGCGGTAGCACTAGTGGAGCTGCTGGATCCGAGGGAGGAGAGCAGCAGCAGGGAAAAACTAAGAAGCCGAAGGGTGTCGTTATGAAGGGATGGGAGACACCCGTCTCCAGGCCAGGACGTACCCGTATGGCTACTAAGAAGCTGACTGCAGGAGCTGATGTAGCGGAGCAGCAGCTTGGGACCGAGGAGGCATTGCTGATTCTACCGCATGGCTATGATCTGGATGAGGAGGATGAACCTGCCTACTGTTTTTTTGCCCCTGCACCAGAGGAACCAGCTAGCATGGAGGAGGCATTAGCTGGACCAGATAGGGAGAAGTGGCTGGTTTCCAGGGATGCTGAGTACCAGAGCCTGCTAGAGAATGGGACATGGGAGCTGGTGGTGCTGCCTGAGGGGAAGAAAGCCGTACGGTGCAAGTGGGTGCTACGGATCAAGACCGATGACAAGGGACAGGTCACCATCTACAAGAGTAGGTTGGTGGCTAAGGGGTTTATGCAGAAGGAGAAGCGGGACTTCAATGAGATCTTTGCTCCCACTGCCAAACCCCCTACCCTTCGTGTCTTGTTGGCAGATGCAGCCGTTAGTGGGAAGTTCATTATCCAGATGGACATATCAACGGCATTTCTCAACGGGATTTTAGAGGAGGAGGTGTTCATGACGCAGCCACCTGGGTATGAGGATGGTACGGGCAGGGTGTGCAAGCTGAAAAATTCCATCTACGGCTTGAAGCAGGTGCCACGCTGTTGGTACCAGAAGTTGGCAGCTGTTTAAGAGGAGATGGGATTCAAGACCAGCAGCTGTGATGAGAGCCTCTTTCTCAAGGGGGAGGGGGAGAAGCTGGTGCTGTTTCTGGTCTATGTGGACGACATTCTTCTCTTTAGCAGCAGCATGAAGGAGATCCAGAAGGTGCAGCAGCAGCTGATGGAGAACTTCAAGTGCAAGAACCTTGGGGAGGTAAAGTACTACCTCGGGATGCACGTGGAGAGGGATCTGGATCACAGGTCGTTGAAGCTGCACCAGGAGAAGTTCATCAAGGAGCTTGGGGAGAAGTACGGAATTGAGAATGAGCGCAAGGTTGCAACTCCCCTGCCAGCAGAATTCAAGCTTGTGAAAGCTGCAGAGGATGAAGGGGTTGAAGCCGAGGAGCAGCAGCAATTTCAGTCCTTGGTGGGCAGCCTCTTGTATGCAGCAGTTCACACGAGGCCCGACATCTCTTTCTCGGTTGGGCAGCTGGCTAGGGTGGTGCAGAATCCATCAGAGGAGCAGGTGGATGCAGCTGAGCGTGTGGTGAAGTATCTGAACTCTCACCCAAGCATTGGAGTTCAATACTCCGCATCTGCACAGGTGAAGCGGAAAGGGGTTGAGGTGCTGAAAGAGAAGGGGGAGAGGCTTGGAGAAGGCAAGCTCTTTCTCACTTGCTTTACTAATGCTACGTGGGCCTCTGAGAAGGAGGATTCCTCATCAGTGGGAGGATACATCTGCGTAGTTGGAGGAGGACCTGTTAGTTGGAGGTCAAAGAAGCAAACGGAGACAGCACTTTCTTCTGTGGAATCAGAGTACATGGCGATGTTCCATGGGGTGAAGGAGGTGATTTGGCTGAAGAGGCTGTTAGAGGAGATTGGCCAGGAGCAAAAGGTTGCTATGCCACTGTTTTGTGATAGCAAGGGAGCTCTTCGGATGGCCAGGAACGCTGTGCTTCATGGGCTGAACAAGCACATGCGTATCAATTGGCACTGGTTGCGTAAGGAGGTGAAGAGGGGGACGGTGAATCCGATCTACATCAAGACTCACCAGCAGCCAGCAGACTTCCTCACCAAGAGGCTTGCAGATGAGCCTCATTGGCGTTGTGTGCACATGAGTGGAATGAGCATGAACTAGTATGGATTGATGGGGATGAAGCCGGCAGGCTGAGGGGAAGTGTGTTGGGTGCAAACTCACATTGCACGACATCCTGCCGTCTGTTTGTACGAGTATGCGTGTGCGAATGCATTTGGGTATGAATGGAATGTTCGTGTGTTTGTTTGCTATCGCGATTTTCGCTTGAAGCATTTGCAGGTACTCGTGCATTGTGCGCTTCGGCATAACATTGTACGCGCTATGAACAGTACAAGCAGAAAGGACGAGCTCGCAAAGGAGCTCACGATGGAAGCTTTGCGGTTCGGCTTATTTGATTGCGCAGATTCAGTTGTATCCAACTCGAAATTGTACTGTTTTGTTTGGTTGACTATAGTGTAGCAGGGCAGGCACTATAGGGGTACAATTTAGGTGAAGGTTGGATGTTGTTTATCTGTGCATGCTACAGGGCCAGGGGAAACCAGCGGAACCAGCATTTGGCTGGTTGGGCAAAGACAAAACAGGTTCTGTTTTTAGGACCTGAACCTGGTTGTTGTTTTCCCAGGTTGGAAAAACAGAACCAGAGGTTGTTTACCAACCTACCATCTGCTGTTTTGTCCAGCCAGGTTGGTTCTGTTGCTTGGAATTATTTGGGATCATCCTTGGTTGTTCCCAGGTTTTTTCCCAAGGTCCTTGCTAGCTAGAACTATTTATTCTTTCTCTGTTTGTACCTGGATATAGTGAAATTGATTCAAGCGAATTCCTCCCTTCCTGGAAATTCGTTTCTACGCGGTGCGATGGCAGAATGCTACCCGAGTCAACGCTAGTACGCTAGCACTCCAACGCTAGGCTAACACTGTCCGAGCCATAACTTCGTAATGGCAGAACTTTTCGCGAGGCAACTTGGCTTATTTTAAAGCTCTTAGAGTGAGCTTCGATATAGGAAATTCTCAGATTAATCCGATCGATGGTCTGCACGATACGCTGCGCGACGTTCAAGGTACTCTTGCTGTTTTGACTAAGTCCCTCTTGATCCCTCTCTCTACATACTCGGACCCGAGGATAGGGGCTGGTCTTGTACCAGGCACCCAAGGACCTTTGGAGGTGACCCCGAGGAGAGGTTTTAAGTTTGATAAAGTCTTAATAGCTTGAGTTTATTAGGCCCTTACACCAACATAAATGTCCACCACCGAGACTAGCAAATTCAAACCATAATAATTATAGTTTGACAGGACACACTTACAGTACCGCCCCAGCTGATGTGCAGAAGCAGTATAGGACCGATCACGTTGCATGTATACCGTGGTTAGCACGAGGCGCCATGGCTCAGCTTGCATTTCGCAACCACATCCCGCCCGATCAGTGGCCCCACTTTCGTTCGTTGAAAACGACCAAAGTGCTCCATGACGCTGTAGTGAAGCGCTACTCCTCCCCCACTTCTACCACCCAAGGACGTCTTGTGATGCCTTTTCTCTTCCCTGAGATGTCTGACTTCACCACCATAGCCGACCTCATGACTCACCTGTGCTCCCTTGAAATGCGCTACTGTGCTGCTCTCAAGCCAAAGTTTCTGGCTGAGTACCAGCCCCCCATGTACCTCACCCTCTACTTCCTTACGGCTCGCCTCCGTGTCTCTCTTTACGCCGTTCGAGACCACTTCCTCTCTCTAGACCCCACTAAGCTCACTCTTGCCTCGTTTGAGTCCCCTCTTCGAGGCTGAGACCATTGTCTATGCTATAGCTTCCTCCGGTGGCACTCCCCGCCCCTCCTTCTTTGAGGGCTGCTCCACCTCCCTTCTCGCGCTTGCTGTTGCCTCTGCTGCTGCTACTGCTGCTGACTTCCTTGAAGCTGAGGAGGTCGATGTTGCGTCCTCCCCTGGCGGGAGATGACACGGCATGGGTGCGCGTACTAGGGGTGGGGGCGGTGAGCATTGTGGAGGGGGCGTTAGTGATGGCAGTGGTGAGGGTAGTGGCGGTGGCGGTGGTGGGGTTGGTGGAGGTGGCCGTGGCGGTGGAGATGGCGGGGGTGGTGGAGGCAGTGGGGGTGGTGGGGGTCATTTTTTCGGAGAACAAGACTGGGCGAGAGCAAGGCTGCTCACCAAGGTTAGTGAGGAGGAAAGACAACCATCAAAGCTCTTGGGCAGCCATGGCCGCAGCGTATACCTTTGCCTCACAGCTGGAACTGGAGATGGACGACGCCCGAGTCGACCTCCACGAAACAACTCCTGTCCTAAGGCAGAAGTAGTAACCCTGTGTAGACCGCAGTGACTCAGCGTCGTCTTCCCACAACGAGTACGAGAAACATGTGAGTAACTGTCTGCTTCCCTCCAAGGACAAGTCCCATGCCCGATGTACTCGCCACATACTTAGCCACCCTCTTGCCAGCGTATCAGTGGGAAGGTCGGTGTCTCCCAGGCGTAACAAAGTGCGGAAGGACGCTAAGAGTTCATCATCCATATCCTCTGGCTACACAACAAAGCTGACGTGCTGAGCCGCCCAGGGCACGTAGTAGGCGTCCAGCTTGACGGAATGAACCCTCTGGTCAAGGGTTTGTTCCAACATAGGTACTCTGTGGATAGAGTGTTCGCTACAGCACAAAAACAAAAGATGTTACAATGGGAGAAAGACTTAGCTATAAGGAAGGGTTCAGGAACGATTTGGGTACCGAACTATGCCCGCTTCGACAGATCTTTGCAGGGATACCTAAGTATTACTACTGGCCCCGGATAGTAGTAGGCGTGCAGCAATTCGTCACATGCGATACGTGCTAGCGGATGAAGATTAGAAAGCAGAAAAAAGCAGGGTACTTCAGCCTCTACCCATACCGGAGCAGCCATGGCAAGTTGTTAGCCTCGGCTTCATCACTGAGCTTCCCTCGACCTCATGAGGGCATGATACTATACTCGCACTGATCAACAAGTTCTCTAAAATGGGACACTTTATCCTTACCAACGCCACGGCTACTATTGAAACAGCTACTCGCCTCTTCTTCGATCGCATCATCACCACCCACGGCATCCCCGCGACACTTATCTTGGATAGAGACCCAAAGTTCATGAGTAAGTTTTGGAAGGAACTCATGGGCTTGTTGGGGACAAAGCTTGCAATGTCTTCAGCATACCACCCCCAGACTGACGGACAGATTGAGTAACTCAGTCAGGTGGTTGTCGAGTAGGCACTGCTTGCAAAGACGATATCAGCTGTTACTGGTACTTGAGTTCGCTTACAACAATGCTTCACATTCAACCACAAGGAAATCTCCTTTCTTTTTCTGCTGCGGATGGGAACCTCTTACACCACAGCAGCCAACCACACCAGCACATGTCCAAGCCGCACATAATTTCGTCACCACCATGCACCATAATGGGATAAGACTCAGCGACGTCTCACCACGATGCAGAACAGAGGCAGTATGCTGATAAACAGCGACGTAATCACTTAGTAGCAGTCAGAGATCTGGATCTTCTTGACACACGCAACTTGGAATTGTTCCACCTACCGTCCAAGCTCTGTCCTTGCTTCTGTGGCCCCTTTCGTGTTGAGGCGATTGTGGCACCAGTCACATTCCGCTTGCGCTTACCTTCTACATGAAAGCTTCACAACGCTTTCAATGTACAGCTACTGAAGCCCTACAAAGACCCGAACCAACAGTTTCAGCGATGGCAGCTACCGTCACTGCCACCTGTTGTCGTATACAATGAACCAGAGTACGAGGTGAAACGAGTTTTTGCTCATCGACGCCGACGCGGCAACGTTCGATTCCCTGATACGTTGGAAAGGATATGACCCCTCGGAGGACAGTTACATGCACAATATGATATGGACAACGCACGCAGTGCTTTCAAGGATAATTCTGTCAAGCAGGGTGTATCTCATGCCACCCAGCTTTGAGGGGGAACATGTGAGAGTACGACGGCCCGCCTTACCTTTATTTCCCTTATTATGTTTTACCTTGCTTGGTTATATATTCTTATGCATGTTTTTGCTCGTTTTCTTTAGAAACATTGCTTAATATATTGTGTTATAGTTACAGCACCGTTCTAGGTTGAGTGCACTGAATTCTAGGCTTTTCGGTTGCCGCCGAATTATCTCCCACCGAATTCGGGAAGGACCCATTCGAGATGCTTCGCGACCTACGGAACCTTCTAGTAACACCCAGGCCACTGCCTTTGTGTCGAGCCTATGTATAGCATCGTCTTGTACCCAGGTGATCATATTATGATTTCTGGACCAGTTTCTTCAATCCTCGCAACGGTAGCAGCGGGATGCAGAGTGGTCAGGACTCTAACAGGTAGTGCCAGCACCAGGACCAGTTAGGGTCCGGTACCCACAGGGACCGACGTCTCGCCCACTGCTAGCTGGGCCGCAGCTAGGGCCGCCACACCTTGGACCCACAGGTCCCCATTTCCCGAAGTGCTATGGCTGGCCCTGCTGCTGTATAACTCTAGTACACGCTATTTGAGGAGCTAGAAACGGGGAGCGTTCTGGCAGGTTTAGAGTGGTGGGGAAGGGGTGGTGGGGGCTGGAGGGTGGTTTGTCACCGTAGTAGGTAGTAGGTGGGGCTGGCAGATACAGGGTGGGGCGGCGGGTTACAGGTGGGGCGGCGGGTTACAAGTGGGGCGGTGGGTTTCAAGGGGGGCGGCTGGTTATAAATGTGGTAGCAGGCTACGGCTGGGGCAGCAGGCTACCGGTGGGGCAGCAGCTTATCGGGCGTCGCTTAAAGGTGAGCCTTAGTTGCTGCTGGTGTGCTGGCGGTAGCTAGAGCTACTGCTGCTGCTGCTGGCGGTAGTGTATGCTGCTGCTAGTGCTTCTGGCAGCAGTCTTTGTTGCTAGTGCTTTGGCGGTGGCATAGGCTGCTGGTGCTCGCTGGCGGTGGCCTACGCAGCTGCTGCTGGAGGCGAGTTACTTGTGGGGCGGCGGACTACAGGTGGGGTGGCGGGTTACAGGTGGGGCAGCTGGTTACAGATAGGGCGGCTAGTTACAGGTGTGGCAGCAGGCTACGGGTGGGGCAAAAGGTAAGCTACTGCTGGTGCGCTGGCGGCAGTCTATGCTACTGCTGGCAGTAGTCTAAGCTGCTGCTAGTGCTTCTGGCGGAAGTGTAAGCTTCTGTTGGCGGCAGTCTAAGCTGACGCTAGTTGGAGTGGTGTCTTTATTGCTAGTGCTTTTGGCGGCAGTGCAAGCTATTGTTGGAGCTTCTGGCGGCAGTATAAGTTGCTACTGCTGCTGCTGCTACTGCTGCTACTGCTACGAGCGGCAGTTTAAGCTGCTGCTAGTGCTTCTGGCAGCAGTGTAAGCTGCTGGCGGTAGTCTAAGCTGCTGCTACTACTTCTGGCAGCAGTGTAAGCAGCTGCTGGTGTGCTGGTGGCAGATGTGGCAGCTCGTGGAGAGGCGGGTTTCAGCGTGGAGCGGCAGTTTTGATAGCGGGTGGGGCAAGTAACGGGGGTGGTAGCTCATGGGGAGGCAGGTTTCAGCGCGTAGGGCGGGGGGTTTAAGGTGGGGCTGCGGTCTCAGGTCGTGGGGCAATGGTTTCAGGTCGTGGGGTGGCGGGTTTCTGATTGGGCGGCGATTTCACGTCTTGAGGCAGCGGGTTTTAGGTGTGAGGCGCCTGTTTCAGATGAAGGGCGGCGCGTTTCAGGTGGGGCAGCGGTTAAGGCAAAGGTAGATTGGTGGGGAAGGGCGCGGCTAACGGGCTGCACGTCCACGCGGCTGTTGCTACGCGTACGTGCGCTCGCGGCGTAAGTGCGTGCGGCTACACGTGCGGCTAAGATTGCGCGTGCATCTGATGCACGCCAGTGGGCTGGCGGGCAGCGTGCGGGGCAAAACGGGTGGTGCGCGGCGCAAAAACGGGTGATGCGCGGGGCAAAACGGGTGGGGCGCGGGGCAGAAACAGGTGACACTTGGGCTAGTGGGGTGAGGGGGCGCTTCGAGCGTTTGGGCACTACGAACTAGGTCGGAGCACGGGTAAGTGGGCCAATCGGAATTTACAAGCCCTATACCATGTCAAGTTACTAAACGGGTGAAATGAAATATGCAAAAGGACATATCTTATAAACCCTGTGGAGATAACTATTTCAATGGGAGCTAGACTACGGGCTAGGCACGGGTGAGAGGGTGATCTGTGCGTTCGTTCCCTTAGTCCCTTGTGCTCACACTACTTGCTAGTTCACAAAAGAATTTGGCAAGAGTTTTGTGGGGTGCAAATTCACATTGCACGACATCCTGCCGTCTGTTTGTATGAGTATGCGTGTGCGAATGCATTTGGGTGTGAATGGAATGTTCGTGTGTTTGTTTGCTTTCGCTATTTTCGCTTGATGCATTTGCAGGTACTCGCACAATGTGCGCTTCGGCACAACATTGTACGTGCTATGAACTGTTGGGTGCAAATTCACATTGCACGACATCCTGCCGTCTTTTGTACGAGTATGCGTGTGCGAATGCATTTGGGTATGAATGGAATGTTGGTGTGTTTGTTTGCTATCGCAATTTTTGCTTGAAGCATTTGCAGGTACTCGCGCATTGTGCGCTTTGGCATAACATTGTACGCGCTATGAACAGTACAAGCAGAAAGGACGAGCAAGCAAAGGAGCCCACGATGGAAGCTTTGCGGTTCGGCTTACTTGATTGCGCAGATTCAGTTGTATCCAACTCAAAATTGTACTGTTTTGTTTGGTTGACTATAGTGTAGCAGGGCAGGCACTATAGGGGTACAATTTAGGTGAAGGTTGGATGTTGTTTATCTGTATCTACATGCTACAGGGCGAGGGGAAACCAGCGGAACCAGCATTTAGCTGGTTGGGCAAAGACAAAACAGGTTCTGTTTTTAGGACCTGAACCTGGTTGTTGTTTTCCCAGGTTGGAAAAACAGAACCAGAGGTTGTCCACCAACCTAC